GGCGGGCGCTCGCGCGGGCGCTGCCCGCCGTGCCGCTCCCGGCAGTTCGTGGAGTCCTAGGATGGTCTGGGTTGGAAGGGACCTGTGGAGGTCATCTAGTCCAACCCCTCTGCAGTGAGCAGGGACAGCTTTCCCCTGGGAAGCTGCCCTCAGGGAACAAGGGAGCAGGACAGAGCTGGCGGATCTTCGAGGACGCTTTCCATAGAGTGCGGGAGCTCCCACTCCTCAGGAGAGGTCGGCAAGGGAGCGGCATGGCGGGGTGAGACCTGCTGGTGAGACTAAAGGGCAAGAAGGAACTGCACAGGCAGTGGAAGCAGGTAACCTGGGGGATGGAGCTGAACTTGGCAAGGCACGCAAAGAATAACAAGATGGGCTTCTACAGGTAACTCAGGCAGACTGAACTACCGACCTGTCAGCCTCACCTCTGTGCCTGGGAAGAGCATGGAACATCCTCCCAGAAACTATGCTAAGGCACATGGAGGAGAGGGAGGTGATTGGAGACAGCCAGCACGGCTTCACCAAGGGCAAGTCCTGCCTGACCAACCTAGTGGCCTTCTGTGATGGAGTGACTGCATCAGTGGACAAGGGAAGAGCTATGGATGTTGTCTGTCTGGACTTCTGTAAGGCTTTCAACACGGTCCCCCACAACATCCTTCTCTCTAAATTGGGGAGATACGGATTTGATGGGTAGACTGTTCAGTGGATGAGGAATTGATTGGATGGTCACAGCCAGAGGGTAGTGGTCAAGGGCTCAATGTGCAGATGAAGATTGGTGACAAGTGGTGTCCCTTAGGGGTCTGTATTGGGACCAGTACTGTTTAATATCTTCATCAGCAACATAAACAGTGGGATCGAGTACACCCTCAGCAAGTTTGCAGGTGACACGAAGTTGAGTGATGCGGTCAACATGCCTGAGGGAAGGGATGCCATCCAGAGGGACCTGGACAAGCTTGAGAAGTGGGCTTGTGTGAACCTCATGAGGTTCAACAAGGCTAAGTGCAAGGTCTTGCCTCTGGGTCGGGGCAACCCCCGGTATCAATAGAGGCTGGGGGATGAAGGGATTGAGAGCAGCCCTGCTGAGAAGGACTTGGGGGTACTGGTGCATGAAAAGCTGGACATGAGCCAACAATGTGTGCCTGCAGCCCAGAAAGCCAACCATATCCTGGGCTGCATCAAAAGCAGTGTGGCCAGCAGGTCGAGGGAGGGGATTCTGCCCCTCTACTCCGCTCTGGTGAGACCTCACCTGGAGTCCTGCGTCCAGCTCTGGAGCCCTCAGCACAGGAAAGACATGGAGCTGTTGGAGCAGGGCCAGAGGAGGCCACAAAAATGATCCGAGGGCTGGAGCACCTCTCCTGTGAGAACAGGCTGAGAAAGTTGGGGCTGTTCAGCCTGGAGAAGAGAAGGCTGCGGGGAGACCTTATTGAAGCCTTTCAGTACTTAAAGGGGGCTCATAAGAAAGACAGGGAGAGAATTTTTCGCAGCGCCTGTTGTGATAGGACAAGGGGTAATGGTTTTAAACTGAAAGAGGGTAGATTTAGACTGGATATGAGGAAGAAATGTTTAACAATGAGAGAGGTGAAACACTGGCACAGGTTGCCCAGAGAAGTGGTAGATGCCCGCTCACTGGAAACATTCAAGGCCAGGTTGGACGGGGCTCTGAGCAACCTGGTCTAGTTGAAGATGTCCCTGCTCACTGCAGGGGTTTGGACTAGATGACCTTTCTAGGTTCCTTCCAACACAAACCATCCTGTGATTCTATGACATCCTAGTTACAGCAGCAGTTCTCGGTGAGAATGACATATTTCAGTATTTGCCAAATACCTTTCAACTCAGTCTTGAAATGAGGCAGTATTTAAATGAAAAATAACATTTTATTCCACTAAACTACAAATTTAGGAAACCGGTTCTTAGGTTTGGTGGAGAAAACAAAGCACTGGCACAGCTCATTACAGCAGCTCTCTAAGACAGGTTCTCAGAGTACCCTTTGGTTTTCACTCGGGCACGAGTTGACAGGACATACCTGCAACTTGTCAGCCCTGGGCCCCAGGTAACGTCCTTCTGGCATTGCTTTGCAAAGGGAAATCTCTTGGGTGGTGCCAAGCCTCGCGGTATTTGCTTCTCTTCCCACTACATGTGACTGCACCCGTAGGGATTTTCTGTAATCCCAAATCCTGATCATCAATTGAACTAGAATATTAAGTTATGAGACTTTTATTCACGAGACAGTCTGATAAAGCATTTGCTGTTGATAGGGGGGAATTCTTCGTACGGGCAGCACAACATTGCCATCTCACTTATCAACAGACCGCTCATGTGAGTGGTCCAAATGTATCCCTTCCCCCAAAACAACTGCGAAAAATTAGTTCCATTACCTCTGAGTTCAGAAAGAGGTAATTCTTCAAATTTTCTAAAACATACATTTTATAAGTAGTTATGCAAACATTTTTTGGATATTAAAAGTACAGTTGATTACCAGCTTTAGATAGAGACTGCCATTTACTTACATTATTGGCAATGTGGCTCCCTCAAAGATCACGATTAGGGAGGCCTTGTTACAGGTGGGCTGCTGGGGAAAGATTACAGAGCCTGGGAAGGGTCACTCGAATCACAAGCCTACACCCAACACACAAATATTAAATGTAAATGTAGGCAAATCAGTAGTCTGAACCCATTTGAGAAGAATAATTACTTCAATAACATGGTAAGCACAAATGCCAGGTCAGAAACCTCAGCAAAAAAAAATGGAGAGACACCATTTTAAAGAGAGCCACCTGAGAGCTAGCTGTCTCTCTTTAAAATGCACGCCATTTATTAGCTTTACAGACGCTGTCAAAACACAAGACATACTGCAAACTTAATTCTTTGCACATTGCTGGTCTGCCAGCTGTAGGGAGAACTGGAAATCAACATTCCGCAACCAGACTCTTCTTCTATAATTTTACTTTCTATATATGCACACACATATATATACACATATGCTTTTATGAATATATATAACCCTGCTTACAAAACATTGGGAATAATTCCCTCTGACAACCTTTTCCTTATTCCAGTAGGTTTTTTATATTCCACAGTATTGCAGGAGAGCAGACTTATGTCGCTGGTTGCCACCAACTCTTCCAACGTGCTACTATTTGTCCCCATGGAAGACATCTACCTGCTGCCACTCCATTCCCATGGAGCGGGTTGGCCCAAATACTTTATCCATTTATCAAGACAGATCAAGAAGCAAACCATCTTTTTGTGGTCTGAATGTCAAGAGAAAGGAAAGTTGTACGACGTGTTCTTGCAAGCCCTCCCCTGCCACGTTTGCTACTCAGCCAAAGCAAGGGAAGTGCAAACTGCTCTCGGTCTCAGTTTGCAAATCCCCTGGCATGGGAGTATTCTCAGCCTGCCTGTCTCCATTTTACCAGTGCAAATGCTTGTTGGAGTAGGAGGGGGCATGTTATGACTGAAAGGTAGCGGCACTCCAACAAGGTAACTTCAGTAGCCTTCACAGTTATTTGAAGATTGTGGACAAGCAGTCGCGTTCGTAGATGTATTCCTTGAACTGGTGTAAATAAATTCAAGATGACACAGCTCAGAACATGAATTAAAAGATGGTACAGATTAAACTGCAAGTTTCAAATGTAGCAGCTCTGTGGATTTCA